GAAATAGACAACGCGAGTCCGCGCACGCAAAGGAAGGCGGCCGAGTACTTGGGCGCATGAGTTGAAATTGTTTGGAGTGCAAGCCAAGCAAGATCAAGATCTAGTCAATTTAGGACTCTAGATATTTAGTTTCCTTCTTGCACAATAATATCTAGAATGTTTAGGAATTTAATATTTTATTGCTTTAATATGTTTCCTAGGTAGATTAGAATTAGTCATAGTTAGGATCTATAAATAGGGATCACCCCTCATTGTTTTTCATGTCTTGGATTTGATGAAATAGAAAAGAACGTTTGTTCGAAACCGTGTGTTAGGGTTCGTGAAAATTCGATCATGCAACCGAATTGGTGAGGCTAAGACCCGAGCCAGTTCAACGATTTAGAGAGGCTAAGACCCGATCTATTTCGAAGAGTGTAGCGAGGCTAATACCCGAGTGAACTCAAGTATCGTGAGAGAGTTAGGCTAATAACCGAGTCGATCACACCTATCGTAAAGAGCAAGGCCGTGGCGAAGCCGTGATCGAGACAAGTCGAGGGTAACGAACACTCGATCCGTCATTATTGGTGCTTTCATTGAGAGTGATCGATTGGGTGTTCGTGAACTTTTCCTATCACATACTTTTTCTTTTGTTCGATTTTTTTTGTTTCTTTTGTGTTCGAATTTTTCGAATTTTTGTCCAAATTTTCGAAAAAATTTCGTGAGTATAAAAAAAAAAGTGTCATCTAGTCCTTTTGTTTGATTTTTCGGTTATTACTTTTTTGTTGAAGGGGCCGAATTTCTCTTCTTTTTGAGTCGAAATTTTCAAAACTCTTGTTCAAATTTTTCATTTAAAAAAAAAATATGTCTTATGTGCCAATGGACGAGATGGATTGGGAAGATCTCGAATTATTGGAGAGTTTGGAGAGAGAACTTACCCCATGGGAGAGCACATATCTAGACGAGCTCCATGAACGAAGAAATCGAGAAGAGTACGAGCGACAACTCATGGAAGGGCGAGGAGCAAGAGAGGGTGAAATTCAGAACGATGAAGATGATGGTGCGCTTAATTTTCTAATCCTTGAGGACAAGGAAAGTCTTGAAGAGGAGGGGAATGATACGGAAGTGGTCATCAACCCAGGCGAGTCCGACGAGGAAGAGGACGATGGTCTCGCCATATGGCTGGAAAACATGCTGGAGGAGCCGACAAGCCCAATATACCGACCATCATGCAAGAGAGACTGGCCAAAATGGTGTGGTCCACGGGCTAAGCTTAAGCTTAAGAAGCGCAAGACCAAACGAGCCCGAAGGAAACGCAAGGCAAAGGATAAGGAATCATATTGTTGGTGTAAGCCTTGTACAAGGAAGAGAGGAACACAAAAGAAGGAGGCTAGAAGACGTGGTTTGCGAAAGGTTGAAGGTGGGTGGTGGATACCGGCGGACGATTGTGAGAGGTTAAAAGGTTGGG